CGTACCGGGGAGGCGGCGAGGGGCGGCGGTGAGTTGCGGTGGACGCGAGTAATGGGCTCTGGTCGGTCCAGTTTGGATCCTTCCGTTTCCGAACTTTTCAGCCTTTCCCTGTAGGGCATTTACGGGCGGGTCTTTCAGTCGCGATGGATTTCAGAGGCATCAGCGGGGTCCATCCACAATCTCGGCGGTCATTCCTCTTCTGCTCGTTGCTGGAAGGGCCTCTGCATGTTGCATTAGTAAAAGGAGCCTTCGCTTGTCTAGTTAAACGTTTGTTATTAATTTTTTGGAGCGAATCCACATCTTTAGAATCCACATCTGTAGACACTTCTGTTGGCTTGTGCAAGTTTGGTTTGCCATCATTTGACCTTCGGTAACCCCACAAATTATAGGATCAAGGATGGCTGAATAATCTTGGTCGTAATTAAAAGATCTTTTAACCTCCAGGTATAGCAAAAGATTAAAACTACTTTTGAGGTAACGGAGGTGAATGTTTGTCCCCTTACCTGTTGAAATACTGTCTAGGCAGAAGACACCGGAGCATATGTTGGCAGCGCTTTTGATGTCATGTTAGCAAGGCTCATGCAATTATTACATCTTCAATTGTTATGTCTTCAGTGGGCCCCTGTACTGCTTTCATCAGTTGTACAGCATGGGTTGAGGTGGCCACATCCTGTCAGTGGTCTCAACTCCACTAATAGCTAAAGCATGTTGGGGTTTGGATGCTGGATGCTTTGAAGTTGCCATAACCTTGCTGAAGTCCTTCCCAGAACGGCCGGCGTTGGTCGAGTATGCCACAGGTTATCTGGTGGGGTAATCTGAGATTAGCTCTCTTAATGTTAACTTTGAAACTTACAAACTCGGTGATCAGAAATTAATGAGGCACTTTATTTTGACTGAAATATGTGGAGCTAAATAGAACTCTTTTCATTTCCAGCAACGTTCAGTTCAGTTTATTAATTCACCAAATGAATTGATGTTGTCATTTGCAACTTTGTCTTTAATTTTGCTCCGTGAGTGTCTCAGAGGTTAATTTTGGGACTCTTTCTTTCTGATCTTTTGGTTTGTTACTGCTTTTTCTTTGTAAATTGCCTTTCCCTCCCCCGACTCTCCCTGTGCGTTGCTGTAACTTTGGATCTGTGTTTGACTAATTCTGTACCAAGTATGGTCAACAGACTTATCTTTTTCCTCTGGACTCTGAAACGCTCTGATCAGAACTTGAATTTGGGGTATGTTCCAAGAATGTTTTTATTTCATTATATAATGTGAACTACTTTCAGTAAAAGTTTCCAGAGTGAAGATTTATACCGCTTCTTGTTTTGTAACTGCTGCTGAGAGAATTTCAAATTTTAGCTTTCAGTGACAGTATTCTGCCACTGACCCCAGCTACAACCACCCAATTTTCCCTCTAAGCGGACTTGCTTTCTTGCTGGGTTCTGCTTATAACACAGACATAATGTCTTTAGAGAATGCCTTTTTTTTTGAGTTGGAGTCTCCTTCACTCAGGCTGGAGTACAGTGGTATGCACGCTCACGGCCACCCCAGTGCTAGGCTCTGGCGATCCTTCTGCCTCAGGCTTCCAAGTAGCTGGAACTACAGGTGCGTGCTACCACACCTGGCTATTTTTTATTTTATTGTAGAGACGAGGTCTCGCCAATTTGCCCGGGCTGTCTCGAACCCATGGGCTCAGGCAATCCACTCGCCCTGGCCTACCAAAGTGCTGGGATTATAGGCTGAGCCACCGAGCCTGGCCTACCTTTTTTTTTTTTTTTAAACATCCTGTTTTTTAAAAAAAAAAAAACACCCTGGTTTCTAGAATTTTTATTTATTTATTTATTTTTATTTTTATTTTTTGAGTAGGAGAGTCACTCTGTTGCCCAGACTGGACTGCAGTGGCACGAGTGTGCCACTGCAGCCTCAATCTGTTGGACTCAGGCGATCCTCTGCCTCAGCCATCCAAGTAGCTGGAACTACAGGCGTGCGCCACCATGCCTGGCTAATTTTTTAATTTATTGTAGCGATGAGGTCTCACCAAGTTGCCCAGGCTGGTCTCGTACCCCTGCGCTCAGGCAATCCTTTTGCCTCTGCCTCCCAAAGTGCTGAGATTATAGGCGTGAGCCACTACGCCCGGCTCATGGAATTTTAAAAGATGTCTTTAGAAATGAACTCTGCCACCTTTTTTTTAAAAACCAAAAGTAGGGTTTAGGCAAGTTGGTTACTGATTGAGAAAGAGGTTAAGTAGGGTTAGCTCTTGCAAAGAGAAAGTCCCATGGAGTAGAATTGGCAGTTTTGACTTGGAGGGGAAAAAAAATCTGGGCTTTAGGGAAAGGTATTTTCTTGGTGTTATTTCCTCACCCTATTGTACAGGGTGCCTTAACTCTGCAGGGCTGAGGCTTTTTAAAGTTGAAATGCCCTCTCACGAGTCAGATTCCATTTGGCAAGGAAGGGATGTTCTTCAAAGCAGCTGCCAAAGAACTCTTGTTAGTGCCAACTTCAAGCAGCATGACTCCAAATGAAGTTTCAAGGAATCACAGAGTTCCTATGTGGGAGTTGTGAAAACCCTTGGTTTCTAGTTGAGAATTTTAACATTTCCATGACTGTTTTGAACAGATTTACAAAATTTCTCTTTGTTTCCAAATATCACAATCCCTATTCCTATTTCAATTTTCTTCCAGCAATTCTGTGACTTAGTGGGGAGGTTATAGAAATCAATGTGTGTTTTTTTTTTCTCTTCATATTTCCATACACTGTATATAGTACTTAGCATTCTTTGGATAGATATGTGTAGAGAAGGGAGGGTGGTTATTTGCTTAAATATTTCAAGTCAGAGCTCCTGGAGTCAATAATTTGACTTTTTTTGACACTTTCTAGACTATTTGTCTACTTACATGATCTTCCTCAAATTTCACTTCCAAAACCAGAATATTGAAAATTCTGAATTTTTGTGGTGAAGACATATATTAAAGACTTTGCTTATACTGCAGATAATACATGCTTTTTGTCTCCTCTCTCTTTAGGCAGAAAACCTACAATACATCAAAAAAGACCCTTTAGTCTATGTTTGGTTACATGATACATCTTCATCTTCTGTATTCTTGAAAGATGGTTTTAGAGGGTTGTCTGAAAAAGGAGGATGGATTTTAAAACTCAGTATAAAGTACTAAATTTAAAGTTTATGTAGCTTCTGACCCTTGATGAAGTCAGTTTTTCGGTCAGTTGATGAAGTGTATTTTTCTAATTATATAGTTATTTAAAATATGAATGTATAGTATTTAAGTTTTGTTGTCTTTGTGTTTCAGTATGAAAACCCATGGACAATCCCAAATATGTTGTCAATGACGAGAATTGGCTTGGCCCCTGTTCTGGGCTATTTGATTATTGAAGAAGATTTTAATATTGCACTAGGAGTTTTTGCTTTAGCTGGGCTAACTGATTTGGTAAGTTGTAAATGCACTTCCGTTTTGCTCTCCTTCCATATTCCAGGGTCTCGACTACTGCACTGAAATAGCATAGCCTTAGTCTGCTTTTCTTTTGGAGGAAATCTTTAAGATGAATTCAAATTAGTACTTTGTATAAGGACTGTCTTCAGCATCTGTGTGGGACTCTTTCTGCATATGGTCTAGGGAGGAAGTGAAGGTTGTAGGGAGGCATGGGAGGGGGTGCTTTGTACTTTTGGTTTTTAACTGTGTAAAAGAAACACCCTTAGAAATTCCCAAAGAGCTGAGTGCTTGCTTTAGGGATAGAAATAAAGAAGTTATGGGGTAACCCCTTCGGGTCCCCTCCCACTGGTGGGAGTTCTCTGTCCTCTCAATAAATCCTGCTTTCTCACTTAAAAAAAAAAGGAAAGAAATTCTAAGATGATTTTTCTATTTATCATCATAGAAAGAAATACTCTGATCTACACAAGGAGCTGGTTTTCCTGGATTAGAGGAAAGCATTGGTTCAGTTGTTGTGACCCAGGGAACTGGGATGTGACCAGGGAGCTTGTCCAAGTCAGATCTTTGCTCAGGTTTCCTACTAGCAGGAGGCTGTAGGTACCAGCATATTTGGATTCTGATATATGCTCCACATCCCTTTGACTGCCCTGCAGAGACTCTGCCCTGGACTGGCTATTGAGCATCCTTCCTTCTGCTCTCCAAGTAGATGGACAAAGGAGAGAAGAACTCCTTGATACCACAGTATCAGTTTTGGGAGGGAGGAGGATTTATTCAGGTGATCTCAAATCGGAACTGAGATGATAATTTTATGTAGAAGGCTACATTTTGTGTTAAATAGGCTTTTGTGGACCGTCATCATGTATTACATTTGTATTTATCCCCCACTTTGTTTCATAAAAGATTTGAAATGCCTCTTAAAACTGGCCAGACATGGTGACTCACACCTGTTTTACCAGTGCTTTGGAAGGCCAAGGTGGGAGGATTACTTGAGGTCAGGAATTTAAGACCAGCCTGGGCAGCATAGCACGACCCCGTCTCTCAAAAAAAAATTTTAAAAATTGCTGAACATGGTGGTGCTGAGCCTGTAGTCCTAGCTACTTGGGAAGCCGAGGCAAGAGGATCATTTGACCCAAGAGTTCAAGGCTATAGCAAGCTATGATTGTGCCACTGCACTCCAGCCTGGGTGACAAGTGTTAGACATTTATCTTAAAAATATTTATAAATATATACACTACACAGTCTGTAAAAATACTGTTGAGGGAAATGTGGTAAAGGTAGATGAAGAATTTAAACCAGGACAAAGCTAGTAGGAGAAATAGGTAAGTTATATTCTTGTGTAAGCCCGGTCTGAGATCCGTATGAGCACCCAGACAGGCAATGCTTTGGTGCCTCTTAAAGCGGATTTATGTTTTAAAAACTGCTCAATATTTATTGAGACTCGAGAAAAACTGATTTTCTTTCTTTCTTTGTTTTTTTGTTTTTTTTTTTTAAATTGGAGTCTCACTCTGTTGCCCAGGCTGTAATGCAGTGGCATCATTGTGGCTCCCCACAGCCTTGACCTCCTAGGCTCAGGCGATCCTTCTGCCTCAGCCTCACAAGAAGTTGGGATTACAGATGCGTGCCACCACACCTGGCTAATTTTTTGACTTTTTGTAGAGATAGATCTCACTATGTTGCCCAGGCTGGTCTCGAACTCCTGGGTTCAAGCAGTCTTCCTGCTTCAGCCTCCCAAAGGTCTAGAATTACAGGCATGATTCGCCACACCCAGCCTGCAAAACAAATTTTTGATTGATAAAAGTTGTATAGCATCTTTCTTTGTAGCATCAGCTATTCTTTTTGAGGTTCATAGAAACAAAACTACATTTGCCCAGTAGTAGTAGCATTAGTGAGCAACATAGAATTAACTGAAGATTTTGGAGGGTAAATGAAAGAGAGCATTTGCCTTGTTACATGGCATTTCCAAATATGCATCAAATTTAGTCTCTGAAATTGCCTCTTAACATCTCTCTTTTTCGGAGATTAGCTACTATTTGTCACCACCTCTCCTCATTTTCACAGTCTCATTTTCTTTTGTCCCTGCTTTTATTTCAAAAGACCTCCATTCATTATTAATATGGTCTCCCATTCTGTCAAAGACCATTATACTGATACTGAATTTTGGTTTTATTAACCTAACAAGATCTTTTTCAGTTACTGGATTCACCTTTTTTTTGTCTGCTAGTTTGTTTGTTTTTTTAAGCCGCTATATGAGATTGCAGTATTCACTGAAATTAATAGGAAAGAGCACCCTTAGCATTGTTCTAAACATAGAAGACGATGTGTGTGGAAACCTGAGTTAACTGATACTATATTTTACATTTATTCCATGGAGGTTTTGGTGCCTTTAGATTGGCCTTTGGGCAGATGACTGGACTTAACAGTTTAAGCAGGAGAATGACAAGGTCTGATTGTGTTGTGTATGGGAACTGGATTGTTGGAAGGCAGGTAACTGGTTTGGAGACGTACAGTAATTTAGGGCAACAATGGTGGTAGCTTAGTTGGGGTGGGAGTTTGGAATTGGAGAAAAGTAGATGGGTTTGGAATGTGTTTTAAGACAGAGTTAATATGTCGATGGATTAGATATGTGGAGACAAGGAGTCAAATCTGAATACTAGGCTATTCCTTTTTTAAAAAAATTCTATTTTCAAAAACCAGGTGCATGGAGGTCACATGTTCTGTAATGTGCAACTCTCAGGGTAGGATAGAGTTTGGAAAAAAAATTACCAAACATTCTGATGCCTATCCAGTTTGAGGTGTTGCTTGGGCAGTTGCGTGTAATGCTTTGGAATTGCAGATCTGGGAGCTGCCAGATACAGATGGTCAAGTCTGGGTAAAATCATCTAGGCAGAGCTGAAAGAAGAAAAACAAAATGTCAGAGGCAAGAGTGACAAGTGGAGCAATGAAGCAGTAGCTAGTCAAGGACACTGGGGAGAAATAGCTGGCAAGGAAGGAAGAAACTTAGGCAATGAGGTGCCCTGGAGGGTGAGTTAAGAAAGTGCCTCCGTTGTGTTGAGGCCAACTAATCTAAAAATGCAGAACTCATTGGTGACCTTCATGAGCATCATCTTCAGAGGGACGGGGACGATTGGAATGGGTTTATGAGCAAATGTGAGACGGTAATGACAATGGACATTGCTTTGAGGCAGTTGTGCTTTGTAGAGGAATAGAGAAATGAGATTAAGAAGGGATCTTTGTAAAGATATGTACTGGGGAAATTTTTGTTGTCTTGTTTTTTGGGTGTTTTTGAGATGGCGTACTCACTGTGTTGCTCAAGCTGGCCTCAAACTCTGGTTTCAATCAGTCCTCTCGCCTCAGCTTTCCAAGCAACTGAGACTACAGGTGTGCCATCGTGCCCAGTGAATTTTGTTGTTAATTAACTGATTAATGAATTAAATGGTTAGATAGAAAGGGAGAGATTAATGATGTGAGGGGAGAGAGGGAAGAAGGGAGGTCAGTCACAGCTAAGAGGGAGGGCATGTGATCAGGGAAGGCAGAGAGGATTGAGTGGATATGGGTGGTAATGGACTTGGTGATGGGAATATGAGGAGGTCCTGACCGTCTCCTTCTCAAGGAAAACATAGACATGATGATAGGCTAGAGACATGGAGAGTAGGTCTCAGGTGAGTGCAGGGAGTGTGAAAGGAGGAGGTAAATACAGTGGGGGGGGGGGGATTGCTAGGCAATAGTGAGTGCCCACGGGAAACTTGTGGTCACCAATTGTAAGTGAAACCATTCAACCCATTTGTGTGTTTTTCTTAAGCAGTGCTCAGTTTCTTGGTTGCAGGTCTGGAGTACATGGATAGTTGTGTTTAGGCAGGGTTGAAGGAGAGTGGCTTGAGAGAGTTACAGATGTTTGCAGAGGAATGATGTTGATGATCCTGGAATCTAATGTGGGTTGGACAGGAATAGTGAGGGCAAGGGTGATGATGGTGAAAAAGTAGAAGTTTCTGAGATCAGAAACTGAAGTAAATTTGATCTTCCAAGGTCCCAGCTCCCAAGTCTAGGCATTTTCTGTTAGTATACTTAAGAAGAAAATAGACTGGGCAGTGGAGTTGCTCACCCCTGTAATCTTGGCACTTTGAGAGGCTGAGGTGAGAGAATTGCTTGAGATAAGGAGTTTGAGACCAGTCTAGGCAACAAAGTGAGACCTCTTTCTACAAAATTAGCTGGACATGGTAATATGTGCCTGTAGTCTCCTGTAGCACAGGAGGCTGAGGCAGGAAGATCACTTGAACCCAAGAGTTTGAGGCTGTGGTAAGCCATGATGTGCCACTATGCTCCAGCTTGGGTGACACGGTGAGACCCTGTCTCAAACAAACAAACAAAAAAAAGAAGAAAATAGATTTTTTAAGTTGCAATAGTAATAGGTAGTAACTGCTTTTTTTGAGGCTTTACTAAGTGCTGAGCACTGGACAAGCATTAGTTTTGTTATGTGCTGAAGATAACCAACCCTTTGAGGTAGGTAATGTTATCTTTGTTTTACAGAGGAGAAAACTAAGACTTAGGTCAAATAACTTGCCCAAGGTCAAATAGCTAGTAAGTGGCAGAGCCAGGACTTGAACCAGTTGTTCTGCAAAATCTAGGTTTTTAACCACTGTCCTGTATTAATGCTCTAACTTACTGGAATACTTGAGATATTGAGTGCCTTGTTTATCCTTTAAAATGAACCATGTTTAATTATATTTAAATTAGTCTTATCTTTTCCCTTAGAAATAGGAATAGAAAAATCAAACATTTATTGAAGCTTGGAGTTAAATAAAATGGGTAAAAGCCAGGTAGAAACTTGGATAAACCAGAAAAATATCTGCCTTGTTTAATGTGGATAAGCGATGCTTGGTTTCAGTCCATGGTGTGGCCCTTTCTCAAGGTAGGCTGGAGGTCTGGATTTTTATGGGGAGATATTGAATTATTTAGATGTTAGAAACTATAATTTAAAAAATCTCTGGCAGGTCAAACAAATGCAGCCTGCAGGCTCCATTTGACTCACTAGTAACTAGGTGCAACCTCTGCTTTAAAATATAATTTATTTCCAATAAAAATAAGTAATTTTTGAGTGTCAGAATTTTAACTAGGCCAGGTACAGAGGATTGAGTTTTTTATTCAATATAGGTAGATACAGAGTATGGAACTATCACTAGTATTGAACAAAATAAGTGGAAGTTTTTCATCACAGTTAGCGTAGTCCTTGCAAGTAGAAGCAGCTATTTTGGTTGTTGTGAAAATAGTCTGAGGCTCTAAAGACAGGGCTCCTAGTGCAGCTCTGGCAGTCATGATTTCTGTAGGTTTTCTTTAGTTCTTTACATCTCTAAATTTGTGTCTGGGCTCATCTCACAAAGGGGCATTGTGAAAATACTGAGAAAGACCAGAAGGCCTTGAGGGAAAAAGAGCTCTGTAGGAATGAAATTATTTTCAGACCAGTTGCTAATTGAAAAGCTAAATATATACCAGTAGAGAGGATAAGAATGTTTGGGGGTAAGAAACAGAAGCGGTTTTGTTAACATTTCATGAAAGTATAGTTGTTATTCTGGTATCGCTTAAGCTTCAAAATATCTACTCTGTTCCTATTATGACATTTATAAAAAAAACAAAAAACTTCTATTTTCAGTTGGATGGATTTATTGCTCGAAACTGGGCCAGTCAAAAATCAGCTTTGGGAAGTGCTCTTGATCCACTTGCTGATAAAATACTTATCAGTATCTTATATGTTAGCTTGACCTATGCAGATCTTATTCCAGGTAAGAGCACCGTCATGCGTACTTTTAAATAGCACAGGGAAGAATGACATTAGTCAGCTTAGGTTTTCTCTTGAGAGACAAATAAATTTTGGTCCAAAAATATATTTTCCAACTTTAAACTGTTTCCCTAATTTTAAACTGTTGAACTCTTTTAGAATTTATGTTCCTGTTACACTAGTAGAACCGGTTTTCTTAGTAAGATTGTTTAAAATTAAAACTGAGCAAATATTTTACAATGCCAATTTATGTTACTAAGGAATTTTTTGATGCTGTATTATATATTTTTAGTGCCTAGCTTTTGGAAAGCAATGTAAAGTTTTCCTAAGACTATTATTACCTTTATTAAATACAGTTTAATTATAATAAATAAGAACACTGAAATCCTGCAGATGTCTATTAAAGTCCACAATGTTATTATTTAGCTCTATTGTGCAATTTTATATTATACATATAGTTTGTACATTATATAAATACTTTTTCTAACTAAATTTTATGATATTTTGCTTTGTGTTTTGCATGTGCTTTTCTGATCATTTTCTACTTTATTTGTGTTTCTCAGTTTTTCTCCCTCAGTCCAGATTTCTCCCTCACTCCCCAAAAGTTAGAAGTCATATCTGAGAACAAACAAACTGCCATGTGGTCCTTCATTACCATGGTATTATTAGTATTTAGTAGGAAGGAGTGTAGTGGACGTTTCAATCTAGTGCAGCCTCCTCAAGCCGGACATTCTTTTTCCTTTTTCCTTTTAGTCCTCTAAGTTCTCATACCAAATTAAAAAATAAATTGGCCAATGCTTACATGTATGTGCTTTTTTGAAAGTTAGAATTGAGGTTTTTATATGGTTGGGGAGTATCGGGGGTTGAACAGGTAGGGGTATTCTCATTCTAATGATCATAAATACTTTTTAGGAAAAACCTTATAGAGCATTCTGTTGAGTATTCAAAATCAAAATGATCTTTCTTTTAGTGTGCATGTATGTGTTTTTATACCTTCCATTTTTCATAGTTGTATTTTGTGCTGTTTTATAAAGATTGACCAGGCCGTTTTTTTGTGAACATAGAAATTGTTCCCAGGTTTTGGGTAGTATAGAGAATGTTGCTGTGAGCTTTACTTGTATAATTGGTGTAGGTTACTTTCTATGCTTGGACTTCTCTTCACTGTCATTCTTCGAGGTTTCCATTTTCTCTCTTTTGTGTTGGGCCTCTTTTTCCAGGCTCCCATATCTCCCTTTTTGTTAATACTCCTTTTGGTGGAGTGCAGCTGCCAGTTTTTTGTTTTTGCTTTTGCTTTTGTCTTTTGGAGTTGGAGTCTCACTCTGTTGCCCAGGCTGGAGTGCAGTGGCATGCCCATGGCCACTGCAGCCTCGACCTGCTGGGCTCAGGTGATCTTCTGCTTCAGCCTTCCAAGTAGCTGGAGCTACAGGTGCGCGTCACTACACCCAGCTAATTGTTTGATATATTGTAGAGATGAGATCTCACCAAGTTGTCCGGGCTGGTCTCAAACCCCTGGGTTCAGGCATTCCTCTTGCCTCTACCTTCCAAAGTGCTGGGATTATAGGTGTGAGCCTCTACACCTGACTGCCAGTTGTTTTTCTGTAAAAGGACGTAGCGTTGCAGCCAATTTTAGCGATCTTTGGCATCTAAAATATCTTTATTGTATCTTCTGTACATGATTGACAGTTGAACTGGGAATAATCTTTTAATTGCAGATTACTTTCATTCAGTATTTTAAAGACTCTGATCCTTAGACTTCTTGATTCCATCTTGCTACGGAGCAGTCTCATGTCATTCTGACACCTATTCCTTTATATGTGATTGGGTTTTATATCGGAAAGCTTTTAAGATTTAAAAAAATGATATCTAGTTGATGTTTTTAATAAAGGTTTATCTTTCTTCATTCATTTTTTAATGCTTTTTTTTTTCTTGATTTGGGGTCTTACTCTGTCAGCCAGGCTGGAGGGCAGTGGCATAATCACAGCTCATTGCAGCTTTAACCACCTAGGCGTACGTGATCCTTCTACGTCAGCCTCCCAATAGCTGTGGCTATAGATGCATGCCACCATGCCCGGTTAATTTTTCTATTTTTTTGTAGAGACAGGATCTTGTTATGTTGCCTAGGCTGGTCTCAAACTCTTGGGCTCAAGCAATCATTTCACCTTGGCCTCCCAAAGTGCTAAGATTACATATGTGACCCACTGCACCCAGCTGATTTTCTAATGCTTTTAGATAGATACCTAGTTATCCTAACACTTTTCATTGAAAAGTGTGTGTTTTTCAGACTCACTGCAATGTCCATGTATATGTAGTTCCATTTCTGGCTTGTCTTTTTTTCTCCCCTCATTGATTTGTCTGTCTGTGCACCAGTGCCACTCTTATTGCTTCGCCAAAGCTCTTGATATCTGGTAGAGCAAGTCCTTCCATCATGGAAATTCTTAGACCTTTAAGGGCACTGGTGTATACATTTTAGAATCAACTTTTCCCAGAATCAGCAATTTCCCAGAGAACATTGACAATTGGATTATGATTGCGTGGAATTTATTATCTATTTGGAAGCATTTACGTCTTTACAATATTAAGTCTTCCAGTCCACAGACATGCTATATCTACTCTAGTTAGTTCTTTAATATCTCTTAAAGTTTTATAGTTTTCTCCAGAAAGGTAATAACCATTTTTATTAGATTTATTCCTAAGTATATGGTAGTTCTTGATGCTTTTATAAATGATAGCTTCTTAAATTTCATCTTGTAATAACTTTGTTGATATGATGAAAAATTGGTTCTATTTCTGATGTTGATTTTTGTGTCTAGCAAAACTTGCTAACTCCTAATAATATACATGTAAATCCCATGCTCAATTATGTGTTGTCTGTAATTAATCACAATGTATTTCTTCTCTTCAGTCCTTTTACCTTTTCTGTTACTTGCCTTACTGCACTGTGCAGTACAGTGCTGAGTAGGAGTGGTATCAGTGCCTTATTTCCATTTGCATGGTGAAAGCTTTTAACATTCCACTATTAAAGATAATAAGAGAAGTTCACTTCTGTTGAGAGTTTGTTATCACAATTGGATATTGAATTTTTTTTGAGTCAGAGTCTCACTCTGTTGCCCACATTGAAGTTCAGTGGCGCACTTGTGGCTCACCCCAGCCTTGACCTCCTGGGCTCAGGCAACCCTTCCGTGTCAGCTTCTCAAGTATAGCTGGGACTACAGGCACGTGCCACCACACCTGGCTAATTTTTGTATATTTTTGTAGAGATGAGGTCTTGCTATGTTGATCCAGGCTGGTCTCCAGCTCCTGGGCTCAAGCGATTCTCCTGCCTCAGCTGCCCAAAGTGTAGGGATTACAGGCATGAACCATTGCACCTGACCTAATTCTTGGTTATTTTCAACTGTCTAGCTATATTATTTGAAAAATAGTGTGGAGGAGTATTTTTATGCCTATGAACATGGTATTACTTACCAGAGAAAATGTTTTTGTTCAGTTCTACCAAGCACTTAGGAATACTACTAGTCTGGAACAACTTGTATATATCACCAGGTGATGAGACAGTCCTGGAAGGCCTAGTTCCATGTCCTCTCCAAACCCTGGAGGAATAGCTGCTTAGATCCTAGCTTAAGCTAGGAGTAGGTTATCAGAGCCCAGCTTTGAGCGTCACCCGATCATGATTGAGCTTCATGGATTGATTCTCTTCCTTTTTTTTTTTTTTAATCTTTGTCTTTTTTTTTTTTTTGAAACATTTCCCCAACTTTGCCACTTAACCCTTCTGTTGACCTTTTTTTTTTTTGTCTCAATTTGAATTTCTAAGAGCTTATTTTCTTGTATTCATTAAAAAAAGTTCTTATTTTATGGTTGAGTGTTATCACTTAGGAAATCTATACATGTACAGACACACCTCATTTTACTGTTTTCATTTTATTGTACTTTACAGATATTGTGCTTTTTATAAATTGAAGGTTTGTGGCAACATTGTGCCCAGCAAGTCAGTCGGTGCCATTTTTTAAACTCATGTGTTCACTTTGTGTCTCCGTGTCATATTTTGATAATCCTCAATATTTCAGACTTTTTTATTATTATATCTGTTATGGTGATCAGTGCTTTTTTTTTTTTTTGGGAGTTGGAGTCTCACTCTCTTGCCCAGGCTGGAGTGCGGTGGCACTCTAGTGGCACTGCAGCCTCGATCTACTGGGTTCAGGCAATCCTTCCACCTCAGCCTTCCAAGTAGTTGGAACTACAAGCACGTGCCACCATGCTCAGCTAATTTTTTGATTTATTGTAGAGATAAGGTCTCGCCAAGTTGCCCAGGCTGGTCTCGAACCCGTGGACTCAGGCAATTCTCTACCTCAGCCTCCCAAAGTGCTGGGATTATAGGTGTGAGCCACCATGCCCGGCGTGATCAGTGATCTTTGATGTGACTATTGTAGTTGTTTTGGGGGTTCAACGAACCATATCTATATAAGATCATGAACTTGATGAATATTGTGTGTGTTCTGACTGTTCCACTGACCAGCGCTTCCTCAGGCTGTCTCCCTTTCCTCAGGCCTCCCTGTTTCCTGAAATACAATAATATTGAAATTAGGCCAATTAATACACTTCACAATGACCTCTAAGTGTTCAAGTGAAAGGAAAGATTGCACATTTCTCACTTTAAATAAAAATCTAGAAATGAGTAAGCTTAGTGAGGAAGGCATATTGAAAACTGAGAAAGACTGAAAGCCAGTCCTCTTGCTCCACACATTTAGCCAAGTTATGAATGCAAAGGAACAGTTCTTGAAAGAAATGATAGAGCAGAACAGCCTTATTGCTGATCTGGAGAAGTTTGAGTGGTCTTGATAGAAAAATCAAACCAGCCACAATATTCCCTTAAGCCAAAGTCTGATCCGGAACAAGGCCCTAACTCTTCAATTCTGTGAAGGCTGAGGTAGGTGGAATCTACATAAGAAAAGTTGGAAGGTGGCCATGAGGTTTAAGGAAAGAAGCCATCTCCATAACATGAAAGTCTAA